TAATAAAGACATAAGCTAAATACCCCTGGTAGTTAAGTGATTGATTTTAAACGAACAGCTCTGATTGATTGTCTGAAACACCCCCTGTAAGGATTAATTTTCCGGTTTTCTTGAGTATCTTTAGTATTGATAATACCGGTTCCATGTCCAGATCGGATTGTTTTATCTCGTATGGTGCGTAAGGCGCGATCTGTTCGGCGGGTAAAATATTCGCGTTGATTAATCGCATAATGGTTGAGCCACTGACCCCACAATAACCTTTCGCTTGCACCAGGTTGAGGATGCCATCGTCTTCTCGTTTGGGCGCTGCTTTAATACCCTGCTTTGTTCGGATAGTACGTACACTTGATTGACTCCAGCGCTTGCCCTTGCCAGTTTTCCTGCCCAACCTGCTTAACACCATAGCGATTTCGGCATCGTTATATCTTATCGCCATCTTTCGGATCAACTCAAGATCTTCCGCTTTTGTTTTGTGCCCCTGGTTGGCGGGCAGGGGCCTTGGGATAATCAAATCGGTATGACTGCCGCCTTGCCAGTGAATGATAAAACTCAAAAGTTGCTTTTCTTTATCGATATCGACGATGATTTCTTTGATCAAGCATCTTATGATTTTCTTTTTGAGCGCCACCGGACTTTCGGCTCGATGCCAGGTATCGGCAAAGTCTTGGCCGAGCGCAAGTATCGATTGTTTGCCCTGTTCGGTGAGCGTTTGTGGTGCTACCTGTGCGGCATTGAGCGTATTTTTGACTTGTTCGGCTTTTTCCAGTTTTTCGTTCCAGCGTTGCTCCAGGGTATCGACGACTAAACGGTTGCTGGGATCAGCCTGGTCATATTGCAGGAAGGCCCGCTGTGCTTCATATTCCACTTGTTGTAATTGTCTTTGCAATGCGATGTGATGATCGCTGCGATGGCTCTCAAGTTGCTCGACTGCCCGCAGGCTCGCGGCGACGCCTTCGGGCGTGATGCGCTTGAGCACTTCGTCGGCGATTCTCTGCTCTGCCGCCATCCCGCCAAAGCCGATACAGTAGCGTCCTGCGCTTTGATAGTCACCATGGCACAAGTACCTCGGTGTCGTCCCCTGCTTGCCCCAATAGCGCACCTGGAGCTTGTGTCCACAACGCGCGCAGCGCAATAGACCCGTGAGCAACCCATGCCCTTGCCGAACAGCCAGGATAGATTCATCCGGCTGGAAGTTCGTACCATTGTTGTCGATCATACGCTGAAACCGAAGATAGCTTGCCCAGCTAATATACCCTTCATGGTGATTCTGGATAAAGACTTTTGCCTGATCGTGCGGAAGAATCGCGGCTTGTCGCTTTCTAAGTTCTCCCTGTTCCAGCACCTTTTCGGTGGGGCGACGCCCATAGACATAGGCGCCCGCATAAATGGGATTGTGCAATACGCTGGGAATAAAGGTCTGTGCCGGTAGCTTCCACACCAGTTGGATCTGTCCGCCGATGGATTTATTCACCGGCAGTTCAATCTGGTTCTCCATGAACCAACCATAGGTCTGGCGGATACTGCCGAGTGCCTGGAATTTGTTAAATATCAGCATCATGGCGTCCTGTACGCGCCGATTCGGGTCTTTAATGATCGCATCGCCATCGCGGATAAAGCCCGGTGCGACGGTCGTGAACAGTTCGCCACGCCGAGCCTTGGCTTCTTTGCCTTGCTGCAGGCGCAAGCGCAATATATTGAGTTCGGCGGCGCTGATCGTGCCCTTGATACCCAGCACCAACTGATCATCGAATTGACTGGGATCGTACACAGTCTGCTCATCGCCGATCAGGGTATTGAAGAGCTGGCATATCTCCATCAAGTGGCACCAGTCTTTATCGGTGCGGGACAAACGCGAGAGCTCACGGCTTAGAATAATGCCAACATCGCCAAGCGCCACGCTGGTCAACAGTTGTTGAAATCCTGGGCGTTCGCGCGAGCCCGATGACGCACTGGCACCGAGGTCTTTATCGATCACTTCGACCCGGTTAAAACCCAACTCGGTTGCGCGATCAGCTAAGGCGTATTGCAGGTGCTGGCTTTCGATATTGTGTTTGACCTGAGTTAAGCTCGACTGACGCAGATAGACGATGGCTTTTCGGGTCAGGTGATCAGTATTGATCCTGCTGTGAAGGCTGTGATTGATCATGATGCAATTTCTCCTGTGTTTGGAAAACAGTGATAATGACTAAAGTCATCAACTCGATAAGTGCCTGTTGTTGCTGCTGATCGAGCTCATGGTGTAGTAGGTGATCTTCATCGTTGTGAAAGTGAAAGCTGTGTTGATCCATCGGTGTGCTCCAAAGCATCGCATAGCGGCTTTACAGCAGAACAATTGGCACGGACTAAATCAACGATTTCCAACAGGATAGGCAAAGGAATATCGATAGCAGGTCCCACCTGAAGCAGCGCCGCCTCGGGTTGTAACATCCATAGTGGTAGTACTAAGGTTTTGCCTGGTGACAATTCAACGGTGATCCGCCCAGCTTTCCCGCCAGCGCGCTGTAGCACTTTGAAGGTTTGATTGGCATAGGGATGATATGAATAATAAACCCTTGCCGTCGGAGACAAGGTAGTTAGTGTGGTTGGTGATGCATAATCACTACCACGTTGTTTTATTTATCGATAAAGACGCTGCAGAGCGTTGGAGTGATCGTGACGTCGTAGAACACTGGCATCAGTTATTTAGTGGCAATGCCTATAGCCAACGCTATCTTCGTGGGGAGTTATTGTCTTTAGCAGAACAGGAAATGCTCACTCGATCTATAGAGCTATGGCGGGGTCGTTTAATAGATATTAGCTGGTTTATGCGGATACTGAATGACAAAATCATCGGGAATGATTTTGAACAGCTATGCTGGCCTCGAAGGGGTGAGTATCAGGATGATACGAATAACGTATAGCGCGCCTGGCCAACCAGGAAGATAATTGTACGGGTAGATTCTGGGACCGGTTTTCACGTCCTGCACCAACAGTAGGCGCTTTAGGCGAAACCGGCATACATCACATCCATGTGAATAAAGGCCGATTCTCCAGCCAGGCATTACTTGACGAAAAGGCACTCATCGCCTGTGCAGCTTATGTCGATCTAAATCCTATTCGAGCAGGACTGGCAAAAAGCCTCACTGAATCCGAGCACACCAGCATTAAACGCCGTTGCGAAAAAGCCGAGCAAGCCACACAGCCGAATCATCCCAATCAACAAGTGAAAGACTTATTGCCGTTTGCAGGCAACATCAGACAAGACATGCCGAAAGGTTTGCCATTTAAACTGACCGAATATCTCGAACTGGTAGACTGGACCGGCAGAATACTGCGAGAAGACAAGAAGGGCGCGATACCGGAAGACGTGCCACCAATCCTCGCACAATTAAACATCGACCCGAAGGAATGGTGTTATCTCAGCCAGCATTTCGAAAGCCGATTCAAGTCACTGGTCGGCACCGCCCACAACGTCAAAGCAGCCTGCGAACAACTGGGCCAAAAATGGGCGCATGGTATTCGAGCCTGCCGAGTGGCTTTTCCGGTCTAGCGCCACAATCTGACTAACCGATAACAGTCAATCACCGGCCTGAAACATCGGCCATCGGGCGGTTATGCCGGGTGCCTGAAAACAGGCCCGCAAGATATGAAAAAGTAGTGTAATTTCTCCGAAAACCTTTTTTTGATTCAACTCGCCTTCAGGTAAATGTTAAAGCGACGTATTTTATTACTTGGTGCTTTCTAAAATATGGGTGTCTATGTTTGTATTGAAAAGCACGATAATTTCATTTTGT